TTGTTGACTGGTTGCCCCCTTGCCAAAGCATGCAGTGAACATGACATTTTGTGGACCGGCAAGTGATACAGTTTTGACCAATCGGCAAATGGAAAAATTGAGCTTTGACACTAACTATTATAACAATATTTTTTATTAACTTGAGTAGGCAATATTTCGAAAGTAAGTCTACTAGTTCCTTGAATATCAATGTTTTCTTATGATCATGATATGTTTTTTGTGTGTAAGGTGTTATGTACTCAGGTGAGTATGAAGTTTTTGATCTTGACTCTGAGTATATATTTATCCACACTAAGCAGGCTGAAAAGTTCACCTGACCATTGTGGGAATCAAATCTGCAACCTTTGGGATGCTAGGAAACATGTGAACTCACCCGCATTGAGCAGGTTATACCCACATTTTGGAATCATCTGTATAAAAATGGTTCTTAAATTGACCCGCATTCGTTGAAATTCACACACATTTAATCAGATAATAATGCTTCATAGGAGTGGAGGCTATGCTGAACTATACTTGCACATAAAACATTGATCTGAAAGTGAAAGACAGTGCAGAATGTATTCTCTATTCTGTGCTAAAACCATAGAAGACACATAAATTTCTTTTGTTTAGTTTTGACTGAAATTTTACCAGGGGTGTATATTCTTCAATGACCTTTGATTCCTTCCCCCTGGCCCCCTCTTCAGCTTTGGAATTAAAAAAAATTTTAAAGAAATTTGGGCACGACATTGGAGTCTGGGCTCTACCTTTACTATTCCAGTAATTTTCCTTTGATTTTAAGAATTATTTTTGAGAAACGTTTGGTTCAAGGTAGAAAAATGATGTTACAATGCTGATTTTGACAACAAATTTTTCAGTTTATTTAGAACTTCTGCATCTCAATATCAACAGCACAACAAAATAATTGATTATTGATATTAATATTAACTAGAGATATTACCCTTAAAAAGTACTCCTGTCTTTAAATTACGTTGATCTTTTAACAAACGGTTTTAGTTTCACAAACATTAATATAATTATATGTTCACTTTTTTAAAATTTGATTTAAATATTGACATTAACTTCCAATTCCCCTTCCTCTTGCCATAAAAAGTCATACTTCATTTATACCCCTCCTTGCTCACATAATATGAGACTGCAGATCAAGTTTTTTCAGTTCTTTTGCATTCTCATCCCGTCCTCTTCTTTTCCTTTTGCCCCCTCATTTTCCTTTTGCCCTTTCCTTTCTTTTCCCTTTGTTCTCTTCTTTTCCCTGTTTCTTTTCCCTTCCTTTCTTTTTCACTCTTCTTTGAATTTCTTCCCTGGCCCTAAGACCCTTTATTCCTTTCCCCCCCCCCTGGTGGGGGGATTATAAAAAAATTAATATACCTGGACTGAACGGTTGCGACTTTACAAAACTGCATGTGTGAAACTTTTATTTATTCCCTAGACTTCAATCTAAATACATTTGAGAACTTCACATTTATGCGTATTTTAAACAAGAACAGATGAAATGTTCTCTTTTTGGCTACAAAAGCCACAGCTGTTGTTATTGCCGGCATTGTGGTTGTTACAGCTGTTTCAGTGTATTGGCATCACCCGCTTTTTACGTCCTTAGGGCTCACATCTCTGTTAGTCCTACTCGTTGGGTTGAACTCAGTCCAGTTGACCGGGTTGAAATTTCAGCCCTGTCTGTATTGGGGTTGAAATTTCAACCCCGGTGTTGCACTCAGTCCTGGGTTGAAAATTTTGTCAATGTATTAATCGTTTCAACCCAGGGCTGAAATTATTCATGAGTTATCTGCTCCCGGGATTGAGAGTGCTCCATGTAATCGGCCCAAGGAAACGGGTGGAATTTCACCTCATGAACTGATCCTTATTTACTATGTGCACCAGCTTATCTGGCTGATTCAATTGAAAGAGTCCAAAAAAGAGCACTGAATATAATCCTCCCTGGCGTGTCCAGTGCCGTCGCGAGACTCGCGACTAGCTCGCTTCAGGGGGGGGGGGTAAATCTACCTGAAAGTAAATTTTCGAATTTTACCTGAAGTGTACCATTTTAGGGGTAAAAAATTTTTCCGGACATATCCAAATTTATCGCGACATAAAAAATTTTTCCGATATAAAAAATTTTCTCCGTTTATCAAAGAAATTCTTCTAAAATTCTGAAAAATTTCGTGGATTTTCTAAAATTTTTGTAAATATACCTTATTCTTTTTCCAAATTGACAGTTATTTTGGTAAATTAACTTTCTCTGGTCCTAGGAATTACCTGAATTTGCGGTGATTTACCTGAATTTCTTCTGCATATCTACCTGAATTTACCTGAAATTGCTCATATGAGCAATCATCAGGGCAGTGGTGGATCCAGCAAAGTTTTTTTTTTTTTTGGGGGGGGGGGTGGGGTGCTAACCAATGACGAAACGAGCGCCGAGGGCGCAAGATTTCTAGGGTGGTCCGGGTTAAAATTTGGGTCTCTGAAATGGCATTTCCAGCATTCTGAGAAAACATTCTGGAAATTTTTTAGATTGTCAAAACATTTAAAAATTCAGAATATTTAATATTGGCTATTCCTCTATTGTCAACTAGTGATACGCAACTGAATTCCTTAACATAAGTTGGTTAAAATTAGGATAAACGTCATTTTTGCACCCCCCATGCCCCCTATTGACCAGAGCCTGGGGGGGGGGTGCAAAATGAGAGACGCGATGCTTTGTGCGAAAAAAGATTAAAAAGAGAACTGATCCGGCTATCTCATTTATTTACGTCAGACTAGAGAAAACGTATGATTTATGTATTTCTAACAAATGGTCGTTGTTCAAATGTAGAACTGATCGTTTTAAGAAAAGCTTTTTCCCAAGTATGATTCCGTCGTTGTGGCTTTTTTTTGAACTTTCAAACTGTCGGGAATCAGGCCTCGCATCCAATACCGAAAATAAGTAAAATCTACACCAGAAATTATGTTTTAAAACGCTTTATTTACCCTAGGCTCAGATTCCAGCCGTTGGGTTCTCGGCACTTTCCGGCTCGAACAACAACTCAACGACAAATTTACTTCGGCTTTCTTCTGATAGGTCAGATTGTTCAAAAATTACCACATACAGAAAACTAAAATTAAGGTCCTTTGATCTCTTAAAGTTACTGTATTACCATTAATGATTTACTAACCAATTTTTAACAAAACTATGACAGTATATACCTGTACCAGTGTAGGTAATGCCAATCAAATGAACAAGATTTCACTAGATGCAACTACCTGAAAAATATAAGGAGAATTTCGACGTTTCGAGCGAAGGCCCTTCGTCTGGAATTACTAGTAGTGTACTGTAGTAATTACTTTAATCATTATAATTAC